GCACTACCCGCGTCCTTTGCGTCACTATTTTTTTTCGAGCACTTTGAAGCAATGTGTCCATGCTCTCCACATTCGAAGCACTTGGTGCCCAGTTCCTTCGTCGGACATGTTACACCCATGTGATCACGTGACCCGCAATTGTAGCAGCGCCTCGTATCCGTCGTCTTCTTCACTCCGTTGCTGCTCGCGCCGCTCTTGTCGCTCTTCTCACTCGCACCGATTTTCTCACCTCGCTTCATCGTCGTGGAGCCGTCGTTTCGTTTGTCTGATCGGGTCGAACTCGTGTAGCGATCTCGTAGCGTCACTTTCTCGAACGCCTCCAACAAAGATTCTGCCGTATCAAAGCGTTGTATGCGTGCCTGGTCACGCAGCGTATTATCAGGGATGCCATCTATGACGTAGTCCAACATCTCGTCATCAGCAATCGGCACACGATTTCCCAAGATCATTTTTTCGTGAACGTACTCGTGAAAAGTTTCGTCCTTCTTCCACAGACGTCCTTCGAACTTCTTTCGCAGCGTCACTTTACTCTGATGGTGACGAAACATCTTCTTGATCTCGCCAATAAGCGCGTCGAACGTCATTTCGATATGTTCCGGCTTTGAATGAAACCACTCAAGCGCTTTCTTCTTTAACTTCATTCCAATTAGAACTTTCGCAAAATCATCTTCTAGTCTGTACGTCGTTTTAATGAATTTTATTTGTTTCTCCCAAGTATCGTAGTCACTGGAAACGCCATCAAATTCGTTCACCAGATCCGCAATCGTCGTCAGATTCATTCGTTTGTTCATGGTCGGTAATGCTACAGCGTTATCGTCGTTGCCGTTCACTGGGTTGGCTGCGCCTGCGCGTTCGTTGGCGCGTAGCATCGCGATCTCACGTCGAGCAAGTTCAAGCTCGCGCTCGGCCAATTCCTTCTCGCGCCGACACATCTCGATTTCTCGTTCACGTAGATTATCCTCGTGCTGAAAATCTTCTCCGTCGTCGTCCTCCGTCGTCTCGTACGAGGGGTCAGCTTCCTTAATGCGAACAATGAGCTCGGCCTTCGTTCCCGTCGTCGTCAGCTTAAGAGCCTTCGCCTTCTCCTTCAGTTCCGTCACGGTGCACTCTTCTAAACGTGGCATGGCTATCGTCTTAAACACTTCGGTTAATATGCGTGTGTCTTTGAGAACTCAACGTGCTTTCGGCGTTCACGTTGTTTCACAA